GTAGTCAAGCCTTTCGTGACGAGACTACCTCTCTCTCTTTCTCTCTTTCTTCCCTTTTCCTGATTCTTACCCTCGAGCATCGTTTTCACGAGGAAACTCGTTAACGCAAAGAGGGAAGAGAAAGAAGTAGCGATACGAACCGGAAACTTGAAAGAGTGCGCGACCTTGAAAATTACGAGAGCTAAGAGTATAAAAAAGAGGAAAAATAAGAGGAATAGAAGGAGATAGAAACAGTGGAGAAGGAAGAGCATACGACGGCGAATTGAAAATAGATTTCTTTTTATAATAAAAGCTCTGCGAAACAATTGGATTCCGATCTGCTGATTTATCGTCCTATAAAATATCCATTCAAATTGTTCGACGAGAGGATGCCGTTAGTTGGAACAGTACTGTCCATATAAACGAAAAAGGAAAGGAGAAGTAGAGAAATAGTATTAGTCAGTCGTCCATTTTGTCAGTGTATCGTATAGACATGTATATGTATGTGTGTGTATGTATATATATAGCAGTAATAATAATGGTTTATCTTACGATCAACTAGGTCACGTTCGACGTTTTACGATTATCAGTCCCATGACAGCTGTTTCGATCAGGCCTTCTCCACTGAGGATGGAGAAGGGCGATACGTTTAACGGACATGATATTTATTTTCGTACCACCAACAAAAAATAATCTTTCAGTTGTCCAAAATAAAAGCCATGTTACTGTTAAGTAAAGATTGAAAATCTATCTGTTGATATTGATCTGTTGCAATATTGGTGAGCTTCGATTCTCCAAAAAATAATATTGATGATATCGTCGAATGTTTTCTTTTAATTACAGTTTTTTTTTCCATTTAGAACATCTACTTGCATCATATTTTACAAGTTTCCAGCCACGATCATCATATCTTCATACTTTGCTTTCGCACGGCTTACAATTGGAAACTCAATTTTAAATTGGTAATGCGAACCACCAACTCAAAGTGCGCAATAGCTTTCATGGCAGCAAGGAAAGAAAAAGAAACGAAGAGAGAAACCTGGGTGAAGACGCGAAAAAGGAGTCACGCTATTTCGGTGCACGCGCCGATCACGGAAAGGCACGTGCGCCTTGACGCAACCACGTCGTGACCCGATAAAAGGCACTCGAACGTTTTAGGATCCATTAAGCAACACGAATAGGTCGTAAACATATAAAACAGCTTCTCTTGTGGCCATAGAAAATGGTCGGGGCAACATCTTGCAACTTCAGCCGAAGAAGATAAGCCGCAAAAGGATAACAAGATATCGTCATTGAAGGCAACCACTTTCGCTATCTTCTCTTCATTCTTATATATACAGAAAAATACAATTTTGGACGATGTAGCATCTTTCTCTGTTTATCGATGTTCTTGTGTGCCAAGTATCGTTGCCCGACTATTATATGAATATGCAACCTTTCGAAACTCTTACCTCCATTTTCTTTTTTACTTTCATTGATACAATTTATTGGCATTCCTTCAAGAAATTAATAAATATCTTCGTTATAATTTGCTATCTCAATTTTTATCTTTGTTGTCTCTAACTTTCTCTCTTTTTATTTTTGCTTATTTTATCTTTATTTATTTTTTATTTATTTTTATAAATCGATTGGCCTGAAATATTCGTCGATCTCTTTATTTTTCATATCTATTTGTCTTTCTCTTAAAGAATGTTACTTTTCTATAAACTTTGAATCGATTATATTACTTCCCATTTCAAAACGTTTTCGTCTATAAATAAACGTTTTGCTCGCAATGGTTTTATTTAAAATAATAAAAGCAATTAGGTTGAAAGAGAAAGATCCAGTAATTGTTGGCCCACTTACCAAGCTATTTGCCACTATTAGGAGGGCCATGTCGGATTTTCATGCCGAATAATACGACGATACCTCGCTTTAACGTTCACGATAACTTTCTTGCTTAAAATCTAATTAGTTTAGCCATGGACATCATACAAATTTCAATTTTAAGGATGAGAGCACCGCATTGCGACACGCTGTTGTTTTATTAAGCTTTCGTAACGTTAATTCGTGAAAGAAATTATTAGAAGGGAAATTCACGCATTCGACTTTTTCAAGAATGTGAGTACTCTTTGGTCCGAAAAATTCAATGAAATGTTCTTCGGAGCTCGTTATCTCACCTCCTCGACGACCAGACGCACCCAACGCGTCCCCTACCATTCCGATCGAAGCGTTCGAGCAAGAGAGGTCACTTCGCTTTGTTCTCAATTCACCGGACCGTGGAAAATAGTTCGACGACCGTAGAACTCCGGAAGACCGATCTCGCATACTCATTCTCATTCTTTTTTAACGTATAGTATAAAATTTAAATTTTAGCGCTATCTTTTATATTTCGTTCTAATTACTTGCCGTTCTAATTATATAAAATAAGAAAAATAAGTGTAACATTGAAAAACTACTTAACTATTTAGATATTAACTTAAAAAATGTTATATGGAATAAGTAATAAAATGTATCATGCGTGAATCAATCCGGGTTTTATATTACATTTTATATTATTATTTTTTGGATCAGCTAAAATATTAATACTGATGTAAATATACATATACGAGTGCCATGAAGAGGACAAATCGATTCTTGAAAGTAATTAGTTTTCATAAAACTGTTTATTGACTGAAGTGTAACTCGTATTTTTTATATGTACTACTAAACTTTTTATATACAGTAATAAATAATATTTTACATTTTATATGATAATTATGATTATTGTAATGGTAGTAATATGTATGTGAGGAAAGGTAGACTAAAACTATTTGTGAATGAATCATTTCTAAAAAAATGTCGAGCAAGCATTTATGTTATAAAATCGCATATCGTATAGTATCATATACAGTCGTGTAAAGTTACATCAAATAGCATGTATCATGTAAACTACATGCTCATCAAATATATTCACTTCTTTGATATTACTCAAGTACATCATTCACCGACCTCTTATCTCCTGTAACTTGTTATCAATCTATTAATGATGTCAAGAGGTTTAAGTACATTTGCTTCCAATTTAACGGTTACTTCTTTGAATACAGGTACACAAAGAAGTTTAGTTTTTTATTATCATGTTCAAATTGTATCGTCAAATAATAATAATAATGATAACAAAGCTTTTTTTACTCATCATCTAGCTGTACATTTTTAAAAGAAAATAATTTATTACCATCCAATCAACGAATATTCGCATGATTATGAACTTATGTAAAATGCAAACTTTATATTCACCTACTGAAAAATACGGGAGATTGGTCGTTCGAATAACAGAATAGATAATTTATTGAAACCTCACGTCATTCTTTCATAGACGATACAGATGATTCCGAGAAGCGTCACACAATTGAACAATATTCGCTCCGATATTCAGCTGGAGGTAATTATTACGGAAAATGGAGTGGGGAGTGGTACGATATGTGCTTGTTGAATGACGATAAACGACGTTAATTTTCGATCGTTAATTACCTTTCGCTCTTCTGCTCGCCAGAAGCTCCAACCAATAACTCATTAATTAAACGAATTATTAACATAATCTAGTTGTTGTGGGTAACTGCAACGGTAACCGAAAAAGTAACGTGGAAAGTATATAGAGAGAAAGAAAAAGAAAAAGTATAGAGGTAGAAAGAGAGAAATATATAAATATATAGGTTATATATATATATATATATATATATACAGAGGAAAAGAGGGAGAAAAGAGGGTAACTACCCTCACACTCCAGCACACGTTCAATACTTACATTGGATATCCATTTCCTTTCTCATTGTTTCTCGTTCGCGAACGAAAATGGCGCGAAAATAGGTCTGTGAGTTAACTTTGCAATGGCGTTCGAACGAACATGTAACGATGAGATGGAAAGAAAAAAGTAAAAAACACGGTAAACGAAAATATATACCGAGCCGTCGTTAATACGAGTCGATGTAACGATTGCAAAATCGCTACATTCTTTCTCTCCTTCCTTTTCTCTCTCTCTCCCTCCTTCTCTCTCTCTCTCTCTCTCTCTTTTCCTCTTTTTGATTTATTCGTTTCGTCGGACCGTTGTTGTTGCCTACAAGGCATGCATAAATGCGAGAAATAAAAAGCAACGAAGCGTGAACTCTCGTATAATACAACTAACAAAATTAGTCGTCTCATATGAGTCGAGATTTTTTGGCCGTCTAGAGGGAAATAAAATAGATCATTTGGGACGATATTACTTATACAAATGCAAACTGTCCAATCTTAAAATAAATTCGTTTTTGTAATAAAATAATTAAAAAAAATCACACGAACGTAATGCGGGTGTACATATATGTATTAAATGTTTTAGTGCTTCATCGTAGAAGATGGAACAATTTACACCCTCCTTCCTCCCTTCCTCTCCTTGTTCCTTGACTTGAAATTCTCGACTCTGAATGGCACGGAACGTAGGTACATGGTGGCACGAAATCATATAAAACGGCCAAACTCACCGACAAATCGTGCCTCCTGCTTATTTCGAACCAAATCATTCTCTCTCTATTTTCTGCGAATCATTTCGAGCCAAGATTTTCTTCCAGACCCGCTCGTAATGAAATATGCTTTCTTCCACTCTCGACTTCTCTCTTAACATTTTGCTTTCAGAGGAAGAAGAAAGAAAAAGAAAAAGAAAATGAAAAATAAAAATAAGAAGATAAAGAAAGAAAGAAAGAGAGAGAGAGAGAAAAAGAGACCGTCTACGTTTAAACTGTTTTGTTCGTCGAAGAAACATCTACCCCTTTCTCTTCCACCATCCCACTACCACTACTTTCTACCTCTTATTCTCTCTCTCTTTCTGTCTCTTTCTCTTCCTCTTTCTCTCTCTCTCTCTCTCTCTCTCTTTCTCTCTCTCTCTCTCTCTCTCTCTCTCTTTCTCTCTCTCTCTCTCTCTCTCTCTTTCTCTCTCTCTCTCTCTCTCTTTCTTTCTGTTATGGCTGTCGCTGTCGCAAGCCAGGCAACTCGGCGTGCAATTTGTTTAACATAACAAAGCCACGTGCAGACTCGACACGTTAATTGTCGTGCCCCTCTCCGCGTGATCGCTCGTTCGCTGGCTTTTCGCGCTTGATTTATTTGACTTTTGCCTTCAGCGATATACAAAAGGGGGCTCCAACGGTTGCCGTTACTGCGATAGTAACAGGAATCTGAGTCGTCTGTGGAAAAACGTGAATCGAGTCGGTGCTATTAATTGTGAGAATGCTAGGGTATACAGAGTATACCAGTGATGGTGATGACGACGGTAAGCTCGAACAAGAAAGGTGTTCCGTTCCATTAGGAATGAAATTCCCCGTCAATTAGAAAATCAGTGAGAAAGAGAAAAAAGAGAAAGAGAAAGAGAGAGAGAAAGAGAGAGAGAGAGAGATGAATACGTGGGACGAATCGAATATCGGGAAGCGTGCGTTTCCATTATGCGCATCGACTCTTCGAATAAACAACGAGGGAGGAAAAGCTTTCGATGTAATCGTCGTCTCTATCTGTGCTGCTCGTAAATTGATCGATTAATTAAATCCGCATCACCGAGGGAGAACTCAGAGAGAAAAGAGAAAAGGCTCGATACCGTCTGAGAGATATGAAACTGAGAATAACGACTTTTTAAACAAAATTACAAAAACGCGTATTCATATTTCGTTCTTCATATTATATTTTAGATAGCATTGAGATTGTTTTTAGTCGCAATAAAATATTCGATTCGACGACGAGAAAATATACGTTGATTCGCAGAATATTTTTGCGAAAGACACTATATTGATTAATTTGGTTGTACCAATAAATAATCCAACTGTTTCTCGTTATTTTTAAAAGAAGGATTAAAAAGTAATCAGTGAAATATAAAAAATGTCAACGATACAAAAGAATTGTAACGGAATATCATAGACAAAAGAGAATGCAGAACGGAGTAGAGTAGATATTACGCATAAGCGATTCTCGGAAATGGGAATTTTACGGTGGAAAGATGAAAGGACATTGCGATCATTTTATTTCTTAAGAGAGAAAAAGGGACAGCTGGGCTGTAGAGGCAAAAGCAAGCCGTTCGTCACTGTCCGCGCCACTCGATTATTCGACAAATTCGCTTTGACTGGAATCTTTTGTTTCTAACCGTTGTCCAAAAGAAAATAACCCGTTCGCATCCTGGACAATCTGCTCCCCCATAAATCCTCGACAAATGTTTGAAGGATCTACGTTCTTCCATTTAATTTTCGCACTTTATCGTCCAGGCTCTTTGGTTCCATCATATCATTGTCAAGAAAATTTAAGAAGTACCTCGGTAATATTAAAATAAAAGAAGTACAAAATATCTCATTTAAAACCGAACGAACGTTTAAATATTTTCTTTTCATTTATTATTTAATTTATTATGATTTATCAAACATGCATAAAATTATAACTCGTACATTTCCATTCAAGGTAATTTCAGAATACAGACAATAACAAATCTTAAATTATTATTCGTCCAACAAAATAATTTTGTTTCATATGTATAATATAAATTTTTTCTCTTTTCTTTTTTAGTATTAAATCTAAAAGAAATATTTAGGAGTTGAATTTTATATAGGACATCCTATGTAAGGAATTAAAAGCTGAAATAGCGCTAACTATCAAAAGTAGTAACTATTTTCTATCACACACGGCGCACATGCTCGTTCTCAATAAAATAACGAAATATCGAGTCGGGATAATTCGACTTTCCGATTGAAATTCAATGCACGAAATCGCAACGCGGGCAAATCGGCGATCCAACGTTTCCACAGAAGTACCTCATCAAGCGCTGCAAAGCAATTATTTTGGATGCAGAGAAACGAAACGTTTTGTCCGCCACAGGCCGCACATCGTTCGTACTTTCTGCGATGCGGATAAACGTGGAACATATTCTACGTAGAACGCATATACCTACCTATGTTACAAAGAGAATAGATGAAACACCGTTCGAATTGATTCTGGCATCGTCCCGGCAATGCCCGGGTTCCGCGTCATTTAGCTTGCTTCCATATTGCGAAACATAATGTCGACATTACCGCGGCTAAACCACGCGCCGCTTACCGGATGGCTCTCATCCACGCTCAAGTTACCCGCTACAATTTTACTCTTGGATCAAATATCATCGTTATTTGCCACAAAACGTAAAGCGTTTATACGTAGATATATAGATACATACGATTACTTGTTTGCAATATTTTTTATCCACGCTATATATATCGATCCATTCACAAGGTCGCTTTGACGCACTCGGTACAGGCATAAATGCTTTTAGATTTCATCGATCCTCATCATTTCTTAATTCGTCATGTCAAATATTAATTGTAAAACTTTTGATCTTCTTATGCTTTGAGAATTACGACGAAAAAATTAATAGAAAAATGTATAAGGTATTTTTCTGAAAACGTATAAAAAGTGTCTGCGATTTTCATGGTCGATGAAAAGTACATTTAAGTTTGCTCTTCTTCGAATATAATCGATTATTGTTCTTGATAGAAAACAAAAGAAGAGAGACTTAGAAGAAAGAAAAACAAAAAAATACACGAAATGTCATTTAATTTCTATATTACGAATCTGTATTACGAGTTTGGTTAAAGGATACTTTGGTTAAAGTGATCATAGAATGTGAAAGAAAAATTTGCTATTTTCCTGGTGCTTGGCAGCGTCAGTTCTATTTCTTAGGTTTTTATTAACAAAGAACAAAACTCTGGAAAGGACGGAAACATGTTGTCTCGACTGAGACTGCCAGCAAATCAATTTTCCAAATATATTATGGAACAAATTTCAAAAAATTTTAATATTTACACCACCTCCATCTTAAAATTTCAACCTTCAAAGATCATTCAAGGCAGCGAAATATTTAAGAGAAATATAGGAGAGATCAAAAATCTCAATCTCTTTCGAAACTTCAAAATGACAGAGTCGATAACATTAAAAAATCCCTTCCATAGAACAAATTTTTTCTTAAAAGATGTCGGAGTCAGGAATATCTTAAACGGAGTAAAGAAGAACAAAAGTAATTATACATATGTAACACCAACATCACTGATAATGAGGCAGAAACACAAGTAATTGATCGAGATTCATATACCATTCCTCTTGATTATTAAAACAATTAATTAAACATAAAATTATGCTGATAGAGATATTTCGAATAAGGAGAATGTTCCATTATCGGATATAGAGACAGAATTGTACGACCTTCAATACATGATGGATCCATGCTATAAAGAATTACTTTATCAAGATGTTTCAAAAAAGGTACATATCGTGATAGAAGAATTTAATACTTCGGAACCAAATATATGGAACATAGATAACTAGAATACTATCAATCAATATCGTTAGATTTTCTAGAAAAAATCTTTTTTTTTTGGGAGATGTTTAAAATGAGTTTGTAAATAAATACGTATTAATCTATTATAAACGATCAATTTGTCCTAGAAATAATTGCTCGTAATACATTTGATTTTTTGTTAAAAAAAGAACTCGTTCCAAATAATTAAAGTGAATAAAGAAGGAATACAAATGATTTTCTTTTTCTCCGATCATGAACAATCAAAATTCCGAGGGAAAATTTTAGAAGTAGATCAAGAATAACAGGAGTAGCATACAAGTCTACTAGCTTACCTAGTTGCAACACTCATAATGGAATATTCAAATATTCAAATATTCGAATGCTCGAATATGATTATCGAAAATTTTCCAAGCTAAAGAGCGCTTTAAGAGAGCTTCACGAATACTAATAATTGTTCGCGTAATTTATACTAAAACGGTGTGAGGATTTTTTCTTTTGCCTATTTTGCATACAACGGCGATAAATAAAAAAGTGAAATAATAATACGTCAGAGAATAGGCGTCACACATCGACTTGCCCGAAGGCCGCGACGATGTGAAAAATTTACTTTTCAAGTCGGAAAAAGTGAAAATAAAATAATGCTGGGAGTTCGAAACAATATGCTCTCATTTAATTTCTCTCTCTCTCTCTCTCTCTCTCTCTCTCTCTCTCTCATCCTTCCTTTTCCTCTATGTAAAATAAGCTTCGCAAAAAATATAATTCGACGAAAATTCCTACGTCTAAAAATATAATATACAATATTATATAATATATTTAATTTTCTAATTCTCATAAAAGAAATATGCCTATCGTATCGTTTGATTATTTTATACTTCTAAGTAAACGATAATTCTATACCATCGTCATCCCAATTAATTAACGAGGTATCGAAATCTATTGATTTCCATCCTTCCTATTAACGTTTCAAGCGAATATCGGTCGCTGTAACCACATCGACAATATATAATAATGCGATACGTCTCATTTTCTATTGTTCGTAAATTCTCTCTTTATTTCTGTCATTTTAGGGGACACATTGCATTGTAGAATATTAACGAGCGTTCGTTATCGTTTCCACGGAGAAGTAGACAAAAGAAAAGAAAAAGATAAAGAAGAAAGTTATAACGCGACGAGGGCGTTCACTCGATAACAGCCGATACTTTTGAATTCACTGGGAAGTAAACTCGAACCTCATCTTCTCTAGAGGTCTTAGTTTCAATGAAGCACTCTCCGCTAAGGTTCATTTTCTCTCTCTCTCTCTCTCCTTCTCTCATACTCATGTCAGATCATCTTTTCAAGAAAGTCTTTGAAGCGTTCGCACTTTAACGAACGTGAGTCGTCCCAGAAAATCTGGCTCGATATGCATCATTCATCTATCCTAATCCGTGGAAACGAGCAAAAGTTGCACAAGTTTTGTGTAAAAAGAGTGAGAGGGAATCTTGTCGGTCTAACTTACGGTCGCGTTTAATTGCTCGATGACTCAAACTCTCGTTATACGATCGTTGTAAAATTCACCTCTATTAGAGAGAAGAAAAAGTAAAGTTGCTCTTAAGAAATGATGGAAGAAGACTCGTTTCTCATTCGATAGCTAGAACGTTCCTCTCACAATCAGAAAACTTTCAAAGCGATCTCGTATGACATACTTCACACTTTGAGAAGAAAAATTCTGGAAGTCTGCTTTACATGCAGCACGGATGCTACACACTCCGTTTTTATCTACTACTCATCTTTCTTCTCTTTCTTTCTCTCTTTATCCATCTATCCATTTATCTATCTATCTATCTATCTATCTATCTATCTATCTACCTATTTACCTATCTATCTCTCTATCTATCTATCTACCTATCTATCTATCTATCTATCTATCTTTCCTTCACGTTTCGATTTCATACTCTTACGAAATTTTGGTGAAAGCTCCTTTGATCTAAGAATCTTCGATTTTTGAATTTTATTTTATTTTTACCAAGGTATTGGTTGAGACCAAAGAAAATTGCAATTTCTTCGCTATCGGACGTGTTACTTATTTTAAAATTCTATAAAATAAAAAAAAAACTGTTTTCTGCTTGCTTTTGATTATAAATATTAACAGTTTAATTTTCAGTTGACCAAGCCACATGTTTCAATTTTTACAAGATAAATACTAAAGGAAATCTCTCGAGGGAACAATTAAAACATATGCATTAGAATGATTTTACCTGAGCGTTCGCACTTTAACGAGTACCCGCTAGCCGTAGCACTCTAAAAATTGTAGGCAATATAACCTACGTTGCAGGTATGCGTCAGTGCTTGGCCTACATGTCGAGGTCGTGGCACTCATTATAGCAGTCCCTTGTGTCGCGATGCTGCTATCGTCGCTTCCTATTATTACCGTTAGTCAGACTCGAATTAATCATCTGGAGAAGAAAAATGAAGTATTTCAAAATCATGATGATAATCTCAAGATTTAATAAATGAAGCTGTCATCTGCATATCAAATTTCTTAAAAATATAAGGTAAACTTTTTATGTAGAATTTTCAGTAGAAATTTATTTCCATCACAGTATTGCTTTCCTATTTTCTATATAAAAAACTGTCAACAATTTACAGGCGAAAGAAGGTCGTCGTATATCTCGCCTAACGTTGTCGAACTCAATTTCCCTGGAGGAGAGGGCAAAAGGGAACGGCGATGTTAATCCCTTGGCTAACAAGTAAGCGCGAATACATGTAAGCGTGTCGCTAGTAACTTCTTGTAAGTGTTTGTAAATGGATTTACGTGGAATTGATTATGAATTATACCAGCTTAGGTTATCGATCGTATGAGATGGTAACGAAGACTACGATTTACTAGACTATAAAATAAATTAAGTCTATTTTTGTACTTTTTGGAAAAGAAAAAAGACGTAATAAATCTTACTCGATAAATAGGGAAAAAACGTGGGACTATTAACGTTCTGAAGATTTAGATATTGCGAACGCGATAAGGATAATATGAAGGATTAAATGGCACACGATATTCTATTTATACACGTTGAGAAAAACGATCGAGAAAATTGAAGATGTTGAAGATGATTCGTTTCTAGCATATCCACGAATGTCAAATCTTCTTTCTTACGTTCTCTTCTCTCTCTTTCTTTCTCTTTCTCTCTCTCTCTCTCTCTCTCTCTCTCTCTCTCTCTCTCTCCCGTCACTTTCTTTCGTCTTCGCCAATATGAAAATTCAATTCCATGGAGCGTTCAATGCAGCAACATCGGCACCTGTATCCATTCTCGGCGCGCGTTGCTTACATCTCCGTACATATGAAATACATAAATATAAAGAAGACATGATACGACATATATGCGATACGCAATACAATAAAGAATAGAAAACGATCTCAGAGATATCCTACTTCAGATTACGTTAAACTTGGATTTTTCAATGTCTTCAACAACATGTTAACGTATTTGTAACGATATTTTAATATTATAAAATTGTTGGAAAAGTTAATATATCAACGAGTAACACCCATAAATGAGCAATTACGATAAATAATCCTTCGACGAACATAATGCGAGTGATACGTAAACTCGAAGTAGTTAAGTTCAAGTTTCACATTAAAAAGAGGTGGTCAATTCAAGGCGGATTTCCAAAATTTCTATGTCATTCTGGTAGGTGGTATATAAGGTCAGAGAACTCGTATGGCCTCGACATTCGAGGTGGAAACACGGCGAACTCGTAAAGGTAACTCCCGGTCCATAAATTTCGAGCGGGTTTAACATTCTAAGGCTAATGCCACGAATCCCGGGATGATTTCAGTTAAATTTAATTGCCACTTTATTCCCAAGAACTCACCCTAATTCTATCTATTCTCATCGTGTTAGGAGAGAAAGGGGTGGGTTACGATATTTGTTAATTAACGATATTTATTATACTGTTTCAAATACTAGTGTCGTTCTCGTACTTTTTGGTAGCTATCCCGAACGGAAAAAGGGTCGTAATTTCCAAGTTCCTTTTCGAAGTTTCCCACCTATTCTTTCCTCGCCCATTCCTGGTCCCGTCTAGTTTTCGTTAACTCCAACCGAATTTAGATTATTACCTCGACTTTTCTCTTTTCGGCATTCTCGGTCGTCGGTTTGCCAAGAGCAAAAGCGAAAATTGAGTTTACCCTCCCTTTTTCACAGAATACTGCAGAAAATTGAACGGGTTTCTAATGATTACGCGTTCCACCCTCTCCTACCTGTTTATATCGTATTTATAGCGACTACGTGCCTTCTACGTTCGGTGTTCAGACTATTTGCTTCTGCAACGATCCGAATCGAGAAGGGGCGAGAACGAAAAGGGACGCTCTGTAAATTATGGAATTTCGATCGTTACCCAATCTGTGTGAGAGTAGTAATAAGAAAGAAATAAACAAAAATTACAAGGCGTGAGCAACATGAAACAAAAATATCGCTTGGAAAGAAAGTCAGAAAAACAAAGAAAGAGAGAGAGAGAGAGAGAGAGAGAGAGACGAATAGCTAAGACTTTCGTTATTCTCAACTTATTTTTTATAACATTTGTAGTTAAAGAGTCCCCCGAGATAATATTATGCTTTGAACAAATACGATGTTGACGAGATCGTCGAGAATTTTAATAAGAAAAATATAAGATCGAAAAGGTGAACTCGAAAAAGAATGGAAAAAACACAGATGGCTATGAAAGATCAATTAATTTCATTAGTCTCGTTTGTCGGTACTTGCTCTCATAAGTGCTCTCTAGAGAATATTCTTGACCGCTTAGATAAATTTACTTAGGTAAGGACAACGAAGGGAAGAGAAAAGAACAGACAGATGGCGAGAGAAGAATAGTAAGACGAAAGATTAATCCGTGCACATGGTCAGGACCATCTGGACAGCTCCTCTGCTTTTACGGTTTCAAAGAAAATTGTCCTTTACGAGAGAACGAGAGATCACTGCGCAAATTTGATAGGAACCACATAATCTCTCGTTACTTTATGCCAATGAGATATCCGACATATATGATGATGAGAATGATAGGGAGCAAAGTTAAGAGCTAAATCATATATGAAAGAGATTTTTCTACGATTATTTCTACATTTTATCGGACATTTTGTCGCGATACTGGTATCATGAAAAGAAAATTTTCTATGAACTTTTATTACATCAGAAAACGTGACTTGTAATCTCTCTAAAGAGGATTTTTCTTCGATTCGAGAGAGCGAAAGCTTGCGAGAAGAAAAGAAAGAAAGCTGTCTACGAATTCTCCTCGTATTTTCTTCGCACGATCGCTCCTCTGACTTCCTTTTCGATTCGCTACAAGTTAATATCCGGTTTAGGTGGTACTGATATATACCTGCGGTGCTTTCGAAATTATTTAACCTTCAAGACGAGTTTATTTCTCTAACGAAAGGAGAGAAGATAAGTTTAAAATATCCAAATTTATTTTCAGCATGCTCAAATAGACATATTGAAATTAGATTATGTCCAATTGACACATGTCTATATTATTACTTGTTAATCTGATTGTGAGATTCATTTTTGACTTGATTCTAGACAAATGATGTCACATCAATTAGGAAACATGGATATTCAAAATTTGATCGGAACCACATAACGTCTGTTTCAAGACATCTATTTATTATTTACATACATTCTATTCAGGGAATAAGATAATATTAAAAAAAGCATAGTTATTCTGGATAATTTAAACAACTTTCGTTAAATTCTAACTTATCTCGAACGAAAATAAAGATCACTAGTATGTTTTGTATTTCACGTATACATATACACATACACAAAGACCTACATAGACATACACGACGTAAAGATCGATGGTATCTTGCAAGCGAACTATTGTGTCTTCCAACGGATACATGCTAATTCATCCTTTAATGGTGCGAAGGTGGTTCCGGAGAGTTACAGTATTCGCGAAAGTAGAAGCATGAGAAGAATGGGAAGAGAGAAGGGATGAAATAGGAGGAATAGACGAGGCGAGAGTCGCCGGATTTCCACTTGGTAACAAGGGATACCGAAAGCGCGATTATTCGACCGCGAAATTGTCCTGAATGTCACTTCCTAGCCATCTTTCGTCCTCTCTTCTTCCCTTCGCTTTCCTTCCAACAAGACAACCCTCCTCCTCGTTCTACGAGACACTTCATCCCTCTCGCTCCCTTCCCACGACGACACTTGTCGTAGTTCGACAATCACAACAAAATATACTACAAAATCGAAATAGAAGAAGAGATAGAAAGACAAATTGACGAGGGTGGTACTATCGTTGAGGGGTGACGAACGCACAACAATACAAAGCATCGCGAAACAATGGTCAGGAATTTACACAATTGGTGCGATCAAAACGACCGTGCAAACCTACGTTTCTGTCTCTCCCTTACCCAACCACCCTTTACACAGCCCTCCACGGGTAGGTGAGAGACACGAAGCAACATGTTTTTGGTTTTATAGATGCGACTATTCGAAAAAGCGATTTTGCGAAACCGACAGGTGGAACTGGAGATGGTGGGAAGAGAGAAAAAGGGAATAGGATCAAACAAAACGGGCGGGAAACATACAGGAAGAAAAATTGTTCGTGTAGCCAGCATATAGGCATTGGTAAGTGTGCGAGAGAAAAAGAGAGAAAGAGAGAGAGAGAAAAAAAAAATTGGCGCAACAGAACGGCAGCTGCATCGCATCAACGCGCTATTTTTGGCTTTCTATTTTTATTCTCCCTACCATTCTCTCTCTCTCCCTCTCTCTCTCTCTCTTTCTGTCTCTTTATTTTTCTCTTTTTTATTCTCTTTTCTCTTTCTCTCTCACTCTCAGTGCTCCAGATCTCGACGCTTCATTCCGCGGACCTCTCCCGACGCGATTTACCCTTTGAATTGAAAAAGACTCCCATGCCTGCCGGCTCGCCGGATTCGATCGAAGTGTTTTAACGTTCCCCTTCCGCTCGCGTCTGGAACATTGCGGATACTGTGGAGGTTGCCTCCGTAGCAAAGCCTGTTGGAGTCTCGTGCCAAGGTCGACGGCAATGGAAAAGCCACGAAGAGCTTCTTCAATATCCATATATCTATCTTTTCCTCTCCTTTCGTTCTTTTCTCCTTTTTCTTCCTTATTCTTTTCTCGTTACTTTTCGCCGTCAATGTGAATGTTCGTTTTCGAGCAAATGAAAAAGTTTCTCTGAATGTTCTGTAAATTTTCGTAAAGATTTTTGACAATAAAATATTTGGAGACACTGAATGTTCCTTTATTCGATTTATTTTTAATTTTATTTAAATTTATTATTGACTTCATTCTTTATAGATTACTAAAAAGCTTTCACAGCAAGCAAACCAACCGAGTTAAATTACTTCCATACGAATCTATCGATAAGCGTCTACGATCGTTCTATTCCCGGTTGCTATACCTAACAGCAGAAGTGCAAATGACTAGTAAGTTTCATTCCCCTCTTATAGGACCTAAGTATGTAGATACGTATCTTTGCTGGCAAGGTCGCTTGAGAGAGTGCTACGAGGGATTTCACACTCCTCTACTCTCCACGAGCAATTTATCAACCCCGTTCAAGATCTCCTCGAATCGAAACGCGACAAAAGTGAGAGATAATTATTCGCTCAAAATAAAAACTTCCTCGAAATATTGCTACGTAAGGATAGTAATCCAATCATTCATTTTTTTCCTTTTATTTTTCACAAGTTTTTTTTTGTTTTTGATCTACACAATAGAAGGGATGAATAAAACCTTATGAGCACATCGTGATATTCACGATGAAAGAGAAAAATTGGTTGCATCAAAACGCGTTAAACGAGTGTGTAATAATAATCGATAACGATCAACGTTCTCGATCAAAATAAGCCTCCTATATGCTATCTATATGTACATACTTTCATGTTATACATATACATATATTTATACATCTACATACGAAAAGAGAATTCGAAATGGCGAAGGTCGTTGGTATATATAAACCAACACACATATGCGTGTACTGTCTGCCCTGTCCGTACTTTTACGAAACATCGCCTGGTTGCATGATTGATGATGGGCTGTTGGAGGTACTCGATCGGTGATGCAACGCGTGCGCGTCCACTTGCTATCGTTATTACGACACGTTCAGGAATCTATCATAAACACACCGTTGTCGTGTCAAATTATCCACCGATTATAATTTCAAGCTATCAATAACTGAACCGTTCTACATTGATATTATACAAAACAAAATTCGATCAATTGAAAATTTCATTGAATATTATATATCGAAAAGATATAGCTGTTTTAAAATATAATAATTTTGCGATCATCAAAATTTCTATTTCAACGTTATTATTCGAACAATTTGTTTCGTTGCAATGGCGAAATTCGGGTCAAATTTTACGCTTGCTTGAAAATTGCTTTTTCTCTTTTCTACAAGAGATTGTCTATAACGATTTAAAAAGTACTATTAAATGTTAAAACAAGACCTATACATCGCATTGATTAGCGATAGTTCTCTGGGAACTTGATCGATGCCACGACTTGAATATTCACACTCGCTGTTATTACTACGGAGAAGAGGTAAGAGAGACATTGGTACCGTCTCTCGAAAACCCATCGTTTCAGGAAATTATACAACGATCAAACAATTCGACGTCCCGATCGTCGAACATCGTATTCAATGCGTTCGCGTGTGAAAGGAATGAATAATAATGATAAACCAAAGGAGAAATGAATGTTTTCGCAATATATCGATCAATCGATTCATATCAATCATGCATCTTTAAATTATTAAGAAACTCTAAGAATCACGTATAATTTGATATAGTTCCAAAGTCCCTTTAGCAACAATGTATATTAACATTCGAAATTAGAATGTAAAAAATCAAAAAATTATTTTCGACGATAACGAAAAATATCAATTTTTCGCTATTATATCCAGCATTATACTAATAAACGAAGTAAGTGAATAGTTGCCATTACGCATACCGGATCGTATTACGTATACCAAATATTGAAACTTTGTAATTGAACTCGAATATTTTTTTTGTTATGTATTTCATGTAAATTTCGATTCGCATATATCACAATATATGCATTTATAATCAGGTAAGGCAAGTGAAATGTTTAAGAGAGAGAGATAGATAGATAGATAGATAGATAGATAGATAGATATAGAGATAGAGAGAGAGAGAGAGAGAGAAAGAGAGAGAGAGAGAGAGAGAGAGAGAGACTGATCAATGGAAATTTCCCGAGTGCTCGATCGACGAGTTTACACGTCGCACGCATCTACTCACGATTATTGTTATGAGGCGCCTCGAGACTCTCCCCAATACTGTCGTCTCGGGAAATTATATTCCTCACGAATAGTATTACTGATAATGGCTAACCGAGTTAACGTGTTCCCTCGAAATTAGGATCACTGATAATGAAAACGCTTTTACCGAATTCTCGCGAACGACTCGATGGTCAAAGCTTTGAACGTATCCAAGTGAAACAGAACCAAATTAATAAAATCGAATTGGAATTTGATGGAGACTAGACGGCAATTTCACTCCTTGTTCTTATAAAGATTAATTTAAATCATGTAATCTTTGCAAAAAAATCATTTAAGAGAAAGTGTATTTTTGGGAAATAAAGGATCTTTTAAACATTTAAGAGCGTATGTAGACAAACGTGAATTTAAAAAAAAAAGATCATCGATCTGAAGGGTAAGATTGTATAAGACTATAATTCGAACAAGGGATCAGCTTGGATTCAAGCTAAAACATGAGTGCTCGCGCTAATCCGCTCAAACTGCCGACTACCGACTATCGAGTTTTTCTTCTGTCTCTTTTTCACTGTAAGACTAACGGATATAGATGCAAAAAAAGAAAACAAAAAGATCTAAAAATAATTTTTAATTACCCTTTCTTTCTGTACCATCCTGAATTTCGCAATAATACTTACGATGAAATAAAGAGTGAAATATTTATCTTAGAATCATTCGAGTTTATATTTAAAACTGTTTATATTATAATAAAGAATAAAGGATAAACTTTGAAATTTGTCTTAGATCCTATTTGCCAACATTTACATATCTCATTTAGGAGATATACCCAAGCTGTATATACTCATGCACCTATGTTGCATACGTACATCCGTGCAAATTATCGCACAGTGTTTACGCCATCGAGGACTCGGAAGGATGGGACAATTATTATTCGATCGGTATTACTCCTATAAATGAGGCAAATTGCAAGCACGAAGTGGGCGGAAGAAGGTGGGCTGACGAAAGGAAGGAAAATCGATTTATTTGTCCTCGACGTAGAAAGAGATAGAAATAGGTCGATAAGGTAGATATAGAAGGTGAAAGGGAATGGAAAAGAGAGAAAGGCATGGAATGTGCCGGAAGCAGAAGGACAGATAGAAGGGAGTGGACTACGCTTTCACAACCCTATCGCAAAAACTTTAATCGGTTTACTGGACGGTCCGAGCAGACCGATGCGAGATAATTGAAATCCACGTGGAAAGCTAGGACCCTCCAGAGATTGCCATTAATTAGAGCCATAGATCACTCGGCGCGGCTTGTGACAACCGAGCCAGATCCTCGATCCTCTCCCTCTCCTTCTGTTTCACTCTCACGATGGTACCAAGCTCGTCTTTGCTTAGCACACGGAATAATGTAACCTCTCGGTGCTGTTGCTGCTACGGCGACGTGCAGTATCTCCTGCTAATGTTACTCACACTAGCGAGTCCACGAAGGGAGGCCACGAGCGATAACGTATCTGCTGCCCTGGGCCAACTGGTATCTCGCGAAATTTATCCTGAATTAGATGGACCAACGTGCGAGGTAGTACTACCAGCAACTCTCTCATATCCTTTCAAATACCTTGTGCTTCCTACTTTATGACCTTTGAATCTCCCGCTATTGGAGATCCCACTATAAACGCAACTGGAGTTGATTCGCCAAAGCTCATACTACACGCTTTAAAATAGGTATATTAAAAGGGTACTACTTCGAAATAAGGTCATTCTACAAGAGACTCTTCCGAGAAAAGATCCGATTTTAAATCGCTTTTCTGTCTTTGTTTCTATTTTCACAATAAACTAAAATACGATACTCGAAGGATCGAACGACTAAAATATTTATAACTCTAACACGTTCGTTGTCATCTAACTCTTTCTCTGTCTGTCTATCTGTCTGTCTGTCCGTCTCTCTCTCTTTCTCTCTCTCTCTCTCTCTCTCTCTCTCTTCCTCTCCGTTACTCCAATAGGATGTATCAGAGTCATGCAGCCATGAAAGCTCGATATCGTACGTCTTCCTTCGACCAAAACGGTTCCCTTCTACAAATTACTACCACCCACTTCGTCCTGTATCGTGTTCGCTATACGAGACACGGTTTATCCACAAAGCATGGACGTTCGTCGGCAGATTTTCCCATTCATGAATCACTTCTGAAAGCGAGCTTCCTTTCCAACATATAGATATACGTAGAAAGAATATTACCTCTCTCATTTCTGCAATGACAGGCATCTTAGAAAAAATAATGATAAAGAATTTTTTTTCGAGGAAAATTTGAAGATCATAGATTAATTATATTAATTTGTATAATACGAATTCGATCTTATCGATAACTTTATTGTCCGATAATAATTTGATACATCATCGATTAATTATTATACAGAAAATTTATAACAATGGAACTTTATGACAATGGAAATAGAAGAATCATAATCGACTTCAAGCCGTTATCTCTTGTCCTGAAAATATAAAATCGGTACTCGTAATAAATCATCCGATCACTCGAAAAAAAAGGAGAATTCTAAAGGTTGAAATAGAATGGTAAATGGGGCTAACGTTATAAACGTTTTTATTAACGACAGCACAGCTTTGTATGGAATGGCACTTGAGAGATAGACGAAACGACTTCAAACGAGTCCGTATAAAAGCTCGATCGGGGATAAGAGCAACGGGCAGAAGCTGCCTTCGTTTCGTTATACCAATTGGTAAGTAGGTATGAAGAAGGAAAGAAGAAGAAGACGAAGAAAACGAGAAAAGAGAGAAGAAAAAGAAGAAAGAAATAGAGAGACGTCTCTATGACTGCAGAAAGGAAAACGAGTTCAAAAAGATGGATTAGTACTAGTGTCTCTGTAAAGTTGTTTTCATTAAAGCGTAGAA